ATAAACTTTATCCATAATGGAATCGGATCGTTCACCATTTACAAATGAATGTCATTCAAAATCTTCGTTGCAAGATTCACCCAAATTTGGTTTTTGATTTTTGTGTAGAAAATGAGTTGATAGGGAGGATTAGAACTTGCATATGTGGAGGGATAATGACTCTGCAAAAGTATTACCGGGATATATTGATGGTTATGCATTCAGATGTAACCAATGTTCTATGAGGAAGTCTGTAAGTGTTGGTAAATTGTACATTATGGTGATTTTTTAGATACTTTCTCCACGAAACTCTCGCTGAGTAAGATACTGCGTACATGCCATAATTGGCTACTGAAGCCGACTAGTATGTGCTACAGCTGCAGAAACAGGGAATACTAAAATGTGCACACAGTAATAATATACATAATGCCAAACACTATTCCGATCAATAATGATCATGCACAACGGTCACTTTCGTCATTACGTAATCAGATGAAAGAGGTGAAAATATCCAGTTACCAAGGCAAAGAAAGACTGGTAACTGTTTCTTTCTGAATGTATAAATCAGGTTTCAGGCGCTTGATAGAGATTACTTCAGTAAACTTGAGAAGAGCTGAATTCTTTTGCCTAATGATAATTTTGAACGATCTTGCGACGTCCACCTCATGACCCGTGTCAAGGAGATGTCTGGCGATGGCACTGTTTAAAGCATTTGTTCCCTTTATACATAAGCTTTTCGGTACATGTTCAGAAAATCGTAGATATGCCCTTCTTTCTGTTCTCCCACTGTAACTGCTTCCGCAGATACATGTAAATTTGTATATACAGTTGGAGTTAACATGAGAAGGATATCTATTGATTTTTGATTTAACTAAAGAGCAAGTTTTCGATAGACGAGAACGAGCTTAGCTGCAGGATAGGCTCTGGTTAGTGACGTCCTCAATCTTCTGTTGATCATTGCTGCAATGTTTTCACCTTTATGATCAAGCTGAATGTAGATTGGCTTTTTACCCCACTGTGATTTATTTTACATTTGTGACTTCACATCTTCCATACCTGTTGATGAACCTTTGAGGATACCCATTGCTCTTCGACAACTTTTCAAGAAACTCAAATTCTTCCTCTAATTTCTCTATAGAGCATATTCTCCTCGCTCTATAGTACAGAGTCTTGACTAGTCCGCGTTTAAAGCTATTTAGACAAAAGCTATTAAAATGTAAGTATTGTCCTTTCCATGTAGGCTTTCGGTTAAATTGACTTCTGAAGACTACCATCTTCTTGGCGTTATATGGCAATGTCGAGGAAGTGGAACTTTCCATCATTTTCATGTTCCATAGTAAATTCAATATTGGTATGTGCATGCGTCATTGAATAATCTGAGTAGGTGGAAAGCATGACTGTCATCTGATTGCATAATGTCGAAAGTTTCCATTGTGTATGATCATTATTGTTCGGAATAGTGTTTAATATTATATTATATTATTACTGTATGCATATATTGATTTAATGATTGATTTCTGTTTAAAAATGAACTCTGTGCAAGTATGTTAAAGTTGTTTCTGTAGATACACTTAATAGAGACTTTGTCTTGTAAGCAGTTGATGAGAAGCCAACAAAATAAACGATGATGGTACCATTTTATATTCTGCAAAAACTGTTGTTCTTGCTTTATTCAAATTCATTAAGGGGAATAAATGTATGAAAATTCAATGACTTATGTATTATCTTATTTAAATTATGGGTATTTTTGTTGGGGATTTAGACTTGTTTCAATGTAAGATTTCGTTATAAAGTAACAAACCAGTTAGAGAATCGGTGTAAGCCACAAGTGAGTACTGAACAGTTGTTTCGTTGCAGCTTGGGACTCCTCATCAGTGTGCACCCACGACTTCACATCAGTAATCGTGTAGCTAGGGGTTGGTGACCAAATTTACATTGGGAATTAATTCAAATCCATGCATAAATACTTATAATCTAAATATCAATAATCTCCAGATCAATGATGCCTACCGGATGCCTTTCTAACAGCTATGCTGAGAAGACGTCACCAGTAGGGTCCACCAACACCACTATGTTAAGGTGAAGTAGGTGTTCATTGAAGGCGTTTGTTATAAGCAGCACTATGTGACAAAGTTAGAACATAGGGGGGTCATTAAATTCCAGCCCAAGTGGATGAGTGGTAAACAGACTTCGTCTCGTGACCTGTAAGGTTCGGAGTTCAATCCCCTGGTGGGATCATGGGTATGCGCGCACTGTGGAGAGTGTCAAGTTAGGTTGAAACAGCTGCGTAGTTCTCCTTAGTGGTTTTGAATGAACCCTCTCTAACTGACGTTGATAATACTTTATTATCGAACTTTTATCTTACTCTTTTCATCAATCATTCAATATTGAGGTCAGCTTACATTTTTCTCAAGGTGACCAGTGTATTTGGCAGTGACACACACACTCACTCATACACACACACACATGCGCCAAGTGTTTATCAGCTGAAAAACCTTGAAGATTAGACAGTCCGAATGACAGTATGTTGTCACGTTTTTTTTGCACAAATCCATGAGATTCTACATCACGTTTTAGTGTATTGATGTGAAAAAAAAATTGTGAATTGCTGAATGGACTACTCTCTCACTCGATGATCATCATGTTAAAGTACTCACTCATTCTGAAAATAAGCTATGAAAGTGATAACATGTTAAGGGTCAGTTAATTATAAGTTATGCAATGTATCATCTCAACAAAAGGAACAGAGCGAACTGTTGCGTACAGTACACGCATCCTTTGATCGGATCGATACGACGGAATATCACGTCTACACCATAGATGATGACTTTAAATTGCCAAAAATATGCCAAACGAAACTTTTCCTATGATGGAGAAGATTTGTAAGCTAAGGTGGATGATTTTGATGTGGTTGTGTTCTCTGAGCTGGATAGTTAATTTGCGAAGCTTTCATCACCCTACTAGGTGACATCTTCAGCGTATACTTCAATTTGGCGGTAGAATGCTCGCCAACCACACATGTGGTCCGGGGTTCGAACCCCAGCCGGCGCACTCCTTTATCTCGCTAAGCCAGTAATAAGACTGGTAAAGAGGGAAGGTTGGGCATGAGGCTAGCAACCCCATCCCGTAAAAACAAACACCACTGCTACAGAAACTTCAAACCTCTAGCTTGAAGCCCTATGTTCCACTGAGAACGTAAAGAATTAAAAAATACCAGTAAAACCAAGTAAACAGTTCGTTAATTCGATTATTAATTACTAGTTTCAACTATTTTCCCCGCATCAACGACCTGGTGAGGTTGCAGATGGGGAGACTTCAGTCTTCTTCCAGAAATACTCTTATGTGGCAACACGTTCATAGCCAACCTCTGCAAGGTAAATCCTATACATTACTTTCATGTTGCAGGGGTGTTCCTCACAAAATTTAAAGGGCGACGGCCAAGGTCTAGCGCTTACAACAGGACTGGTGAACATGCAGGTTTACCGTCTACCTAGGCAAGCTGGGAAACCCTGAGTCCAAACCTATGATCTATATGAGCTCCAGAAACCTGACGGATTGAATGGGTTAGGAACCTGTATTGGTCACTGGGAATCATAGGAACGTAACTCCTGACGCTGCTTTACTGCCTTGTGGATTAGGCATTAGATCAAAGGCTCAGGTGTCGCCCCCTAAGCCAACGACTTGCTTCGGTCTGGACATCTAAGGCAGTAGTACCTCAGCTCTCACACACACTACTTAGGGATTTTGTGTTATGCATCTGCTGGTGCCCACAACCTACCAGGTTTGTGACTGAATAATGACTGACTGACTCACTGGTTTCAACATAGAACCTTGCACAGATGTGCAGCAGTTCGAGTTCACACACTCCCTCACTGTAGAATACAAAGCAAGAGAAAAGAGTAAAGACAGATTCACCAAAAGAGAGATAATAAACACAAGTTTGAGTGAGCGGAAAAATATAGTAATATGGAAAAACAGTAAAGTTTTATTGGATATTATAAATCACAAGAAGTGAATGTATCTGCTCCACTGAAAACTATTTTGAGCCATATCACCAGTTGTCGTCTCTAGCCGTCATTGGTTTTTACGATCCCGAGGACACAAGCGAGTCAGGCAATCTATATCTCCCTACGTGGCTGGCTTAAAATAACTGTTGTGACATATTTCGGTCTGACCACCACTAGCTAACTCTTTTCCACCCTGACCCATCCTATGTCAGCTAACATTGCCCATTGTCGAGGAAGGGGATAGTTAGGCATGCATACGTAACACATGCCCTAACCATTTCAATCGGTGTGACTTCATAACCATATCGATTGATTTGCCCTCCTTACCTAGCACTCGATCGACGGCTAACCTCAATATTGCTCACCCTATTACACCACTTAACATAGGAGACACTTATGATCACAGACAGCTAGCGAGGCTTTTAATTTCTTCCACTTTCAATAGCCATGCGCCTCACAGCCATAATGACTGAATAATAATAACGACTATGTCAGGGTGAAGCGGGTATTAATAAACAGTATCGGTTACTCATTTGAGATATATTTTATTTTATTTTTTTATTTTTATTACAGCTTGATGCCACACCGTATTTTCAGTACAAGTATGGAATTTTCAGCATGGATATCGGTAGCCCAAATTCATGCTGACCATAGATATCGGGTGTGCGTCGGTAGGGGATCGAACCCCGGACCATGTGCATGGTCGGCGAGAGTCCTAACCACTGTGCCACCAACGCACATATTGTACGAATCAACAGAAGCTAAAATTCACAGACCATTGAACCCCAACCCGTTGACCAGTAGTCAGCCACCGGGTCGAACTCAAAACCTGAAAGTACTGAGTTCAATCCCAAGTGCGGTGGTCTCAGGGTGCTCACTGATGAAGAATCCCAAACTAGGACAAAACAGCTGACTCTCTAACTAGTGTTGGTTCGCGACGAAATCTCTACATTGAAATTAATCACAACAACAACAACAACAATAACAACAAAAATCACCTCAAATTAAACATACCTGTCGAACGATACTTTGTATTTGATTGCCAATACACTTGTTCTTGTGCTGCTTGTGCTTGAGGTGTAGGTGGCGGAGGATAACAGCCTCTAAACAATGATGGCTGTCGTTTATCCATCTCACTGCCTACCTTATAATTTGGATATTTTGATTGAACATAATTGGTGGAATGATGAGGATGATGATAAGTTGATGATTCTGATGGATAAGATGACGACGACAATGAAGTGAACGGATATTGATTGATTTGTCGACAGTTGAATACTGTCGTCTCTTGATTTGGTGGTGTTATTTCATTTGACAGATGTGAATTATGATTTGGAAAGTAGGGCGGGAAATTCTGTTGATGATTAACTGCTGCTGTTGCTGCTGCCGCTACGACTGGATGATTATCTGAAGATTTATATCCAGGTAGAAGACGATTATTAGAAGTGGGATATTCATGTGGGGGGAATTGTGAATGTGTACTTTCAGGACAATAAACAGGAGATAGCGGGTTCTGTGCAAAATTGGAGCCTAAAATGAGATTTTTGTTTTGGAAAAATAAAACAAAAGAGCTGGTTTATATATCAGGCTTTTAAGGAATATTACAAAACAGCGGAGTAGTTAACTCCGCCCCCCTCCAGCCCTCCAGCGTGTTGAAAAACTTATTTAACAGAGAGGTCTAGTGAAAATTTCTTCAAATAGTGGTTTCACGTTTTCAAAAACATGTAATATATAGATAAACAAACTTATAGAATAACAGACAAATATGACACTGCGTGGAAATGCACTAATTCAAGCGTAGAAATCCATAGCAGTTAACACCACGTCAAAGTTCAACAATAGCGTCCCAAGGGATGCGAACGCACAAGTGATCTTCAGCCGACCAATCATAAAAATGAGGAATTTTGCACAAAAATTGACGTATATTTACAAGAAAATGCATGAAAACACATTAACACACGGTATCTTTCTCTGACATGACTTAAAAATATGTCCCAGTTATTAATGAGGAGTATCAGTTGCTAAGTTAGATTAGTTTCACCGAGGTAACTGGAGATGACCTGGTTTTTGTGAATCGTTTATCTCTCTTATCCTGTTGTGCAGTCTTCCCCAAAAGTTTTCTGTCGAGTTACTATGGTTTCTAGTAAGAGGATCGACAACTACCTACCAGGAAATGTGGATAAAACAAATTAAAATAAATGACATCAACTATAAATCTATCCCTAATCGTAACCCTAACCTTAATCCTAACCCTAATTACAACCCTTATCCTAACCGTAAACCTAACCATAATTCTAATTTTCACCCTGGTCCTAACCCTAACCCCAATACTTACCTTAACTCTAATCCTAACCCTAACGAGCAATTAACACTTTGTCCAAACAGTACTTGAAAACGTGATCTGGGTGAAACTTTCTGCTAAGCTGGTGAATAGCGTTGATATTTCAGCTATGATAATGACAGGTGCCGTTAGCCAACGACTAGCATGCGTTCAAGGTCATTGGAGCGTTCGCACTCCTGGGCCGCTATTGTTGAACTTCGCTCTCAACACAATAAACAAGACTCGAATTTTGACAATACTAAATTAGTGGTTAAACAGAAAGACAAGGCAGACCCTTATCACTCTGCAGTAGAAGGAACAAAATTTTGATTTTCAACACCAATGTTAAGTCAGTTAGTTGTTCTAGATGGGTCAGAAACTTGGCGCATGTCTCACAAAAAGTATTTCCAACGGGCTACTGCGAACTTTTATCAACAGCTGCCTTCGCTGGATCCATACACTGAAGATTATATGGCTCTGTGGCCAGAAAGAATTAGCAACAAGAAACTCCAGGAGCAAACTAATCAAGAACCTATTATTGGTCAAAAAATATTCCAGTCTGTGTGGAGGTCAACAACATTCAGCGTCAAAAATAAGATCCGGATTTTCAACTCCAATGTGAAGTCAGTCAGTGCTACTTACTATACGGATCAGAGACTTGGCCAGCGCGTCATAAAGAGCATCTCAAACAAACTACACACCTTCATTAACAGTTGTCTTCGCTCAATACTTCGCTCAAGATCATATGGCCGGTCAGAAAAGATCAGCAACAGAGATCTCTGGCATTGAGCGAACCAACCAGGAACCGATTGTGCAACAAATAGGCATGAAGAAATGGAGATGGATTGGCTGGCCATACTCTGAGGAAACAATGCATCAAGTGACATCACTAGACAAGCCATTGCTCGAGTGGAACCCGAAAGGGAAGCGGCGAGTTGGTCGTCAGTGCAAGGGTGACTTGGAGGAGGTCATGTGAAGAGGAGATGAAAACGTGTGGGCAGACTTGGAGCCAGGTGAAGACTCTAGCAGAGAACCGAACGCAATGGAGACGCACGGCTGAAGCCCTATGTTCCTGTAGGAATTAAAGGATACAATAATAATAATATAATAATAATAATAAATATTCCAGAGAAAATGGAGGTGTGTCGAACACACGCTGAAGAGATCATCGAATGACATCGTGTGCGCCAGTCTATAGCTCTAGTGGAACGACGAATGGTAAACGATGGGTGGGGCATGGGTCCGAAAGTAATATGGAGACCATATGAAGAAAAATAAAGGCTTTGGGACAGCCATGGAGGCAAACGAAAGTGAATGTCAGAGAACCGAGTGCAACGCAGGTGTACTGCTGAGGTCTTACGTTCCAGTATTATAAGAGAAAATGAAATAAGACATGCTGACATGTGAATAAACAGATGCAGTATTGTCACTAGAAGTCCCCCAATTATTTATTTTTAACACAATGGATATGAAATATTGTCTTTTAAGTATTGATTTTCGGGAATTCCATTGACTTCAAGTTTGATCGTGGGTAAACATCAGTCCTAGAGTACTGGATAGTTATCTCGTCTCACTTTGAGACTCCTCAGCAGTGCGCACCCTTTAACCCACCTGGGATCGAACTTAGAAACTTTAGATTACCTGTGGCTCTATTATAAAATTGCGAATTGACAGCAGCAGTTACAATCTATGGGCCGTCTATGGATTGCATCCCAGTGGCTGACTCGTCGTATAACTTGAAGGTGATACGTTTGGCTATATTAATGTGAGGTTTAAATGTGGGTCGGTGAGGAATCGAACCCAAATCACAAGGTGTCGCTACCAAACAATTATCTGTCAATGAACTACTGATGCAGCAGTGATATTTTGAAGTACACTAAACTTATCCAATACATATGATCACACTCCATTATATCAATAATACATATGATCACAGTTACCACAGTTACAAAAATAGTATCTGCCATCAAAAGTATTGTAAGTGAAGAATATAAATAGTATCAATTTGAGACGAACAAGTGTGAACGCATATGCAGTAGCTAAAGTTGCCATACTCCATGTAGCAAACAGACAAACAAAACGGAGACATACACACAGAGAAAAAGACATGCAAAACTACACCATAATGAGCAAAAAAACAGTACAAGAAAAAAAATAGTAACATAAGGGTTTAATTCTTTTTGAATTTTTTGAATTTTTGATTATAGCTTGATTCCACATCGTACTTTTGGTACAAGTATGGAATTTTCAGCATGTGATATCGGTAGCCCAAATTCTGCAGGCCGACCAATTGATATCAGGTGTGCGTCGGTAGGGGATCGAACCCCGGACCATTTGCATGGTCGGCGAGAGTCCTAACCTCTGTGCCACCGACGCACAGTAGACCATAAACAGTGAATGCATCTCTGCACACCATTCATTGACAATGATTTCCAGCCATATCAATGACAATCACAAACAATTGGCTCTTAGAATCTTGAGGACCGCGTAGCGAGACAGTCTACGCCTCCTCCCTATACATGGCTAGTTCAAACCAACTGTCAAAGACTTAATGGGTTAATACCGCCTGTATAACTCTTTACCGATTCAACCTTATTTCAGCTCGTCAAGGTAGGTGATGACTCGTCACGCATAACACGTGTGTCTCAGCCATTTCAATCGATTCATCCTCACAATCTCATCAATTCATTTGCCTTCCCTACCTAACTTCAATATTGCTTTATAAATTGCAATATTTTATTAGTTTCAGACAGGGATATCCTGGACCGACATGAAGAACCTAGAAGACCTGGATTTCGCGGATGATTTATGTTTGATGTCACACAAGATCGAAGACTTACAAGCGAAAACCGACAAACTGGTCGAAGAAGCAGCAAAGACAGGACTCCAGGTGAACATACACAAGACGGAGGTTATGAAAATAACCAACCAACAACAACAACAGCAGCAAAATCCAGCGCCAATCAACATCAACGGGAGGGATTTGAAAGAGGTTACTTCATTCACTTATCTAGGGAGCATTGTCTCAACTACAGCAGGAACGGACGAGGATGTCAAATCGAGAATCGGGAAGGCGAGAAACACATTCATCAACCTGAAACCAATCTAGAAATCTTCATCACTCAGCATCAACATCAAAATTCGGATTTTCAATACAAACGTCAAGTCAGTTCTTCTATACGGATCAGAAACTTGGCCGGTCACACAGAATATTTCCAACAGCCTGTTGCAGACCTTTATCAACAACTGTCTTCGCTCCATACTGAAGATTAGATGGCCGGAAAGAATCACCAACAAGAAACTATGGGAACAAACAAAACAAGAACCAATCGCTCAACAAATATGCAGGAGAAAGTGGAGATGGATTGGACACTCGCTGAGGAGGCCGTTGGGTGACATCGCGCGTCAGGCCAATGCTCGAATGGAACCCGAAAGGGAAGCGGCGAGTGGGACGTCCAAGGGTGACATGGAGGAGATCGTGTGAAGAGGGGTTGAAACAGTACGGATTAACATGGATGCAGGTGGAAAGTACAGCAGAAGACAGAAGCAAGTGGAGACGTGCAGTTGAAGCCCTATGTTCCACTAGGAACCCAAGGGAACAATAATAATAATAATAATAAGTTTCAGACGGAATTACCGACATTTCAAATTAAATTTTAGCGCTTTTTTTTTATTAAAAAGAAACCTTTTATCAATATTGAAACAAAAAGAAACATACCATAATTTGAATAATTATGAAATGATTGCGGTTGACCTCCAGGAGTAGTATTGTTCGAACAAATAATTTTATTCATCTGTTGTGATGCAGTAAACGATGCACATGGACTAACTGACACACCATCGTCGACAACACCTTCAGTGATACCATAAACTGACTTTGTGTATTTATTATTAGCAGCAAGTTGATCATCATGTGAATCATAATCATCAATTAAATTGTGCTGTTGGTTTTCATCTCCAACTTGTTCTGTAACCACCAATGGATGATTATCAAAACTACCAATCGATGTTGAATGATATATTATTATTATTATTGACATGAGATGAAGAATATTGATTTGAAGAGGGAAATGGTGAAGAGACTTTCATCATCATCATTGTTGTTGGAGTTACAGGCTCTTGTTGACTACCACTACCACTTGCACTTCCACTAGAACTACCGTTACCACCCCCACCCCATACAGAAGTGCTATTCGGACCAGCACTACAACTGCTACTACTACTCCAACATTCATGTCCTGAATCAGTACTTGGTAAGGAGGAGTTACTTGTCATCAGTTTACAACCACCAACAGCACCACCACCACTACCGCCATTACCTCCGCCTTCAGACATACCAACAGCTGTTGGTGACTTCGATTCAATCATCATTTCTTTCACTGCATCTACGACTAGATCAGAAGAGGAATAAGACGAGGAAGAATCACCACTACATCTTGGTGTGGAAGATGTCATCATTAGCATAGGCATATCACGAGCTAATATTTCTTGTAAATCAGAGAAAAATGCATCAGTCTCTGAGAGAACATTATCACTACCACCACCAACACCACCACCACCGGTTACATTCATATCGACTGTAGAATTATTATTAATAGGCAACTTAGGACTGAAAACTGATGATGATGATAATAGTAGACTTGTCTTAATTTTATCTTCAAAAGTGATCAAATGTTGATGTTCACTATACTCTTCTTCATCATTACCTTTCGACACTTCTTCAATTTGTTCGCATAAAATATGATCGAGTATATTATCTGATGAAGTGTCTGTTTTGTTCAGAAGTTGTTCAACGACATCAGCTTCAGTGATATTACTACTACTACTAACAGTTGGAAGTGATTCATTTTGATGAGAAGAAGAAGATATAATACCACCACCAGACGATGATACACTAGAATATTGTGGATTTGTCAGTAGTGAACAGTTGTTCACTTGCTCTGTTGTTGTTGTTGATTCTTCATGTGATGACAACTTGTCTGAATCATCTTGACGATAATGATGAATTAATTGAGTCGACATAGAAGAAGGAGAATGAGGAGGACAAGGATGAGGAGGAGGAGAAGAAGGGGGATAGGTAGACTCCATATCAAGGCCATCTACTACTGTGTTGACTTTATTATTTACAAGGTAACTATTTTGTTGACTATGCAAAGTTGATGTGTTCTCATGATTCATTGTACTTCGAAATAGAGTTTGATGTAATATTGATGATGATGATCTACTATCATTATTGTGTTCTGAAGACAACGAAGAAGAAGCAGAAGCAGAAGAAGAAGAAGACGGAAATTCCCGTGACGATTGTGTCGGTAAACTTGACATGGGAAATGAATAAACATCATTCCGAGAACAATCAGAATTTTGATGATAAAAGGATGATTCATTCGATGAGTAGTTGGTAGTATCCATTGGAGTAAAACTATTCATCAACTGAGGATTACAATATTGCTGTTGTCGTTCTGATATTTGGCTTTCTGGTGTTCTACTACTACTACACCCGACCACTGTCGTATGTTGTTGTTGAACGGAATTATTATTATTATTACTGTTACTATTATTATTACTATATGGTTCACAATCAAGCTTGTTACGTTCCAACACTCGATAAAGTGAAAGTTTCATATCTGAAAAACGGAAACGAAAAAAGAAAGAGAAAACTGAGGAAGAATGCTTAACTGTTGACTAGGAAAAATTAAACTCCTAGAGCTTGGGAACACTTACCAGTATAGCTAAATAAAGGTGTATTAAAAACCACCAACCTCATTCAAACAGGCCACAAAGCTAGCACTGAAGAGTCTTTCTCTACCATCGAATAAATTACCGAGGGCCTCTAGATACGAAACACCCTAAACACCAGAGGCTATTGCAATTCGCCTAAAACAACTGGAGCTCTGTGTGCAAAAGAAGCAGCTTTAGGCAATTTGACTACCCTGGTTTCCTGTGGAACCAGAAAGTTCTCTATTCCTATTCTTAATTTATCTGATAATCAAATTTTAGTGTTGCATAGTGATGCATATTGTCACTCACAGATGTCGCTGGACTGCAGTCTACAGATTTTATTGATTCACCGTTATGTAACAATAGCTAATGTTGCTAATAACATTTAAAAAAAATTTATTATGGACATCTAACTGTAGAACCTGATGAAGGCGTTATCGAGAAGAATATTCTTTGTTCATTAATCAGTCTTAAAATTCTTTCAATGGGTATCTTTAATCAATTAAATTACAAAAATCATAGGTTTGTAAATTTTCATAACACTAACAGGAATCCAACCACCTTGTACATCACAAGAATGTCGGTGATAAAATTTTCATCAAACAACCAGGAACACGCTGTTCAAGTTCAATTCTAGCCGATACACTCTCTTAAACCTCGTCTAGCCAGCAGCAAACCGAGAAAAGAGGGAAATTTCAACGCCAGGCTAGCAATCCCATTCTGTAAGAACCTATAATAGTAATAATAAGGAATCTCAAACCTTTCAAAGAGGCAGTATAGTCTGGTAGAATAGGTCCCACATGACCACCACTAAACCCCACAGTTTGCTTAAACATAACAATTTTTAACCTTCCAATAGGCTAGTTATCATTTAAAAACAATTGCTGCTATTTATGTTCAAACCAAGCTAATATTTAATATAGCAAAAATATTCATTCAGACATCTATAAAACAATATTGCTGAGGCTATGGGGATCCATGTTAACATGCCTAATTTGTGCATCCAAAAGAAGTTAGTTCAGACATTATCACTACCTTGGCCATCTAGGTTTGAATGATCCTGAATTTTTGTGGAATTTTCCTAATATTAGTTGATATCCTATTTGCTATTATATCTTTATTAATTATTATAATTTAAGCATCTTTAATGAACTGTAATTGCATTGATCATACTTAACAAATCGATATTATTTAAAAAACACTAATATTGTTATTGACTACTAATCTAGAATATTCTATGTATATAAACATTTGATAAATGTATGAATCATAAAAACACTACGTATTTACGCAATGAAATTGCGCGTTGATTTTGTCACTTCATGTGGTGGGGTGCGGGTTAGGACTAGATCAAATTCTATTTTAGTCAGTCATTCCTATTCAGACAATTTGGATTCCATTTAAATGTGAAATACTTCTGATAAGAGATGGGTCTTTGTGACATTTTTCTGAAGAACTCCAGTATTATCAAAATTAAACTTGTGGTCTGCATCTATAATGCGTAGGACGTACGGTCGATGATTTTTCAAACTCTCCTACACCCTGTAGTTCTCTCAGTGATCGCATATAGGCTCTAGAGTGTTCATTTCTCCTAAGCTTGATTACTCCTGAGGTTTATCAGATGTACACTGCCTTATAAAGAATTACCAACTGCCGAAGAACTATGATTCAGCCACTCAGTGTATAAAGAGCTGAGATTTTGTAAATTCTTGTTTAATATTGTTATTTTGATAAAGTCTATAGAGATCATTTTCAATGGCGGAAAGTCAATAAAAACAATACCCCATTACAGATAAGATTTTATTTTGATAAATCACTGTGTTATACAATAATATTAACTGATGACGTTTCGAGCACAAACTACTGCCACTCATAATCATATCAAGTCACTCACACAACTTTTTTCTTCATTTATATAAATGGATGGAATTGATTAGATATTTGAGTAAAAAATCAATATAAGATAATGTACATTTAGAAATAATATGAGTGTTATTGATCAAATACAATCAGATGGGAAATAAGACGAAATTCTATTTTAATTCACGTACATCATAACAAGTTACTTATTTTGACTATAAAAACACTCGTCTTATTTCTCATCTGAATCTATTTGATCAATAGCACTCATATTATTATTTCTGAATTTACACTATCCTATATTGATTTTTTTATTTAAATGTCTAATCAATTTCACTCATGTATATAAATGAAGTAGAAAAGTTGTGTAACTTGATATGATTACGAGCAGTAATAGTTTGTGCTCGAAACGTGGTCATCAGTTAATATTACTGTATAACACTGTGTGATTTATCAAAATAAAATCTTATCCATAATGGAGTTACACTCTACCGCCACAGTGCTCAAGTTTTATTTTTATATGAATAAAAACAATACCATTTGATTTTTTCAGTCACTTAGAAATACGAAAAATTTGACATGAATGAACAGTTAATGTTAGTTGAAATCTACCTATTAAAATATGAAGCTATTTCCTTTAGTTGACTTGGCTTATGAAATCAATCTCTAATAAACACATCCTAAATCCCGCTCTAATTAACACCACACGTGCACAGTTTTGTTTATCAAAATACAACAATCACGATTTACTTGTTTGATAAGTGTAAGAAACAATAGGTAAGATGGAGCACTAATTAAATTTATCACAACTAACAGAAGAAATGAAGATACATCACCACCTTATTTAAGGAGATAATACTGACTTCATTTCAACGCAGCAATTTACTTAGAAGTGCAGCAGTTAAAGTTAGCACACTTCATAGACTACGTGGAAGTAGAGAAAAAGGGGAAAAATCAAAAGGAGATTGGAAGGACATGTGAGAATAATTACAAGTAGAAACAACATGCCTTCCAATGAGTGGAAAATGTGCACAGCCGCATAGTGCAATAATAAATAATACCTATTATACAACTACAACGTAATTCAGATATACATTATGACAAACACTTTAACAAATTAAAGCAGATTGGTTTAAGAGATGAGGATATGGGATACCGACTACGCCTGGATAAATGTGCGGTCAACATATACGTGCATGAAGTGTGTTAAACGCTGCACAAATCACAGCAAAAATATTTTTCAGTGCAGTGGAAAGACGACAAAAGTAAGTTTAAAAGCTTAACATACCGCTATGAAATTCATTAATATGACGCTTTAGATGCATACGACGTAAGCCGCCAAATGTACATCCTTCTAGTGGACATTTGAATCTTTTCAAGTCTCGATGTGAATCTTTCATATGATTAGACAGGTACTTAACCGATTGAAAAGTTTGTTCACAACCAGATATTTCACACCGTAAGGATTTGGAGATATTATGATGGACTAAAATTCAATAGAATCAAAATGAGTAACTTACTAGGGACACATCCTGGATTTTTGATTGCGTAATCATCCTCAAAGTGTCTATTTAATATCCTAGGATCATAAGATGGTTGTGTTTGATGTGATGTAAATTGAGGATCTAAAAGACAACATATACAAAATAATGAAAGCTTACCTATGTATTGTTCTACCTTTAGAAAACCTGTAGAGTCTTTTGAAGTGGTTGCATTTGACATTGTACTATACAAATTTTGTTCTACTTTAGTGTAGGGGATCCAAACACGAGAGTTGTTAAGATCTGGCAGCATATCCTCATGTGTGCCGCATGAATTAGCACTTAGGTCAGAGAAATGGGGTGTGTCCATTGACGAGAACGTCTCATGACTACGGTGAGTTGCATCCATATGCTTAATGACGTTTCGATGGTACTGACTTGAATAAACACAATGGTTACATTTGTATCGCTTTGAGGTTAAGATGCCTGATGTATGCTTTCGCATGTGATTCCTTAAAGAAGCAACATGACGGTACTGCTTTCCACAGAGGCTGCAATGATGAGCCATGGAGGAAGACAAGGGACTTGATACTTTCATAGGACCCGACCGACGACAAATAGGACTAGAACTGGGAGATATAGTTCTGAGTTCTTCTATTCTTTGAAAATCAACTTCCGACATTCTACGCGGCTTTAGTGGATCTAAAGCCTGTAAACTTGCAGGAGACGCGAATACCGTCGAGCGTTCTGACGATGAAGCTAATGAATCAACCTCAACACTGGAAAAATCAGATCCGCAATTTAATGGGCCGTAATTAGGAACTGAAGATTGGGACAGCCCAGATGAGTTATTAGTCCTTGTTTCTGACGACGTGTAATGAATTGTCTGATTGGTGGATGAAGGTCTAACTGACATTTCGTGAGAAACTGAAGGGCATTTATTACACGAATCTAAGACGGAGGTGGAATTCTGCGAGTATTCAGTTGTCACACAGTGTTTTTCACTGCCTGAGAAAATATCTTCGCATGTCTCCTTCAGCGAACAATGCTGTGAAGAAACAATTTCCTGGGTTTTCATGGTACCAAAAACTTCACTATCACTACACACGATGTTAGGAGTACTTCGAGATGACTCCTTGAGTTCCTTAACCAAATCTGAACACTTTGTAGATACAACCGAAGGTATTTCAGTGGTCCCCGAAGTACAAACAGGTGCTTCCCATGATTCAGGATATTCTGAGTCGGCGAATGAGACCCTATCAACCTAAAATTATCAGTTACATTATACGAAATCAGACTTCAAACTACCTCCGATTGGTTTATGCAGGAGCCATTTGCACTCAATTCTTCACTGTGAGTATCTATACACACATCTGGAAAGAAATCAATAGATTCCGGCAATACATCTTAGGAAAATAAGATCGCTAACAAAATTATTACCTGCATTCTGGTCGATTGAATTTAGGTTCGGGTCGACTGTAGATTTATCCATTAGAAGCCAGTCAATGTGAGACGTCGACAGAAACTTGTTCATTAGACGTTCATTGAAGTTTACACAAAAGTTCTAATGGAAACGCAGAACTACCCTGTGGTGTAACCTTGAGCCTTCAAATCGCCACGCTGAAACTTTTAGTAATGAATTAGTAAAACAAAGCAGGAAACAAATTCAATTTACATTTACAGTTCACATACAAACTAAATTTTTACCTATTCAGAGGTGAAATCGGTATGTGGTGCAGTTATCTGTATCCTTAAATGCTATCTAACTTACAGTAGATGAAAGAACACAGGACGTCTAACACAAGGCCTTCCTTTAAACTCAGAATAATCCCAATTACCCTCAATTGTTTTAGAAATTTGTAGGGCACCCTTCAAAGCAAATGTGCTAAGGGAATTTAGGTCTCAGAGAAATAAATTTCTTTTTCATTGAACGATGTCTACCTGCCACACTTGTAATACACTATTGAAAGTGTGCAAACTCAGTAACACATTATAACGAAATTGTTTCATGGGTTTCCTTGTATCCAATTAATGCTATGTGATACCAGCCTAGCCATCATCGTATTAAGCGATGGTGCATAGTAGATGAGGATAGGAGAATACTGTGTATAACTCCTTGCAAGTCACAAAGAGGTATCGTCCTTCTGGATCCCTAATTGCCTGCGAGTGACCTTAGTGTTCTATTTAGCAGAGACCCTCCTCTTAGGAGCGACCTCCTCATGGATACAGATTTGGACAACTTTACTTTAGAACTTAAGCTCGATCAGTACTATGACGTCACCTGATGAATCGTTATTTTGATTATCTACAACTCAATGATCCAGCTTTAACGTAACACATCTATATGGAACAGGTTAGAGTTGTTCACCTAGTATCTTATGATACAGAGCAATACTGTCATTAGTCGACCTATTTTTTCACCCATTTTTCCTATTTAATTTCCTATGCGAGCCTTTTTTAGGTTGCTTCATATTTTGCACATCCTGTATCACACAATTGCCAATGATCGTAAACTAAATTTTCCGTCAAGCCTTTGTTTATTTTGGCATCCGTTTAATGTTATGCAACTTCTTATGTTACTTGTGAGTATCACAACAATATTGTCATCTTTCCAGGTAGGTTTTCAAGATCGGTTTTGGCCACGTGAAACTACGTCATACTTTTGATTGCTTAGGTCTTGCACACCGAATCTCTAGCAATAACAAACCTCTAGCCAACCTGTATTTTTAAAGAACTTATTAAGTCACTGGCAGTAAGGAAATATGTGTGGGCAGAATAACGAACTTAACACAATATATCATGTCTCAACCACTACACAAGTAAAACTCAAACTGAATTCCACAGACCTGATTTTATTCGCATCCTCCCTAGTGTCACATTATTTTTCTATTTATTTCGGGGGAGGACACCGTTACAGAAATCTTGCCTATGGAGAGAAAATGGACAGATGATTGCACCTATTTTAGTCCGGGTTTGTAATCTGGATGGCTAACTCACCCGTCAGTGCAATGATATGTAGACTTTAATTTTGCTAACAGCCTTCTTTTGGCACGACATGGGCTTATTTATGTCGCAATATGGTTCCTGGTTTTACAGAATAAAACTTGACCGAAATATAACTCCACGTTACATGACATTTTCAAGCTGAAGCAATTTTTTTACATGTTTCCGTTTTCATATATGTCGATCTTTTGGAGAAGAAAATAATAGGGGTGAACGACAACAGATATATATATATTTAGTTGTACTCTCAGTCGTGTTGCAGCGGTAGGAGAAAAGAGACTTCGTAAAGAGATGTTTATTTGGAATTTGATATCCCTATATGGTGAAATTACGCACATCTTATCTTCAACTCACCATTTGTGCATGTCTTTCACGTTGTGTTACTTCAATCCTTGATACTGTGCTTCTCTGTGCTCCTTTCACGTCTCCTATGTTCCTCCACAACGCTGAATCATTTGATTTCTCTGACTAACGTCAAATGCATTTCCCCTCTATCTGATATCATTATGCTGATGAATGTCTCTTGATATGCTACCGACAAATCTCATCGGCAGCCCGCGCCACGGTGTCATCTACAATAGATGAAAATTATTTTAATTTGAGACTGATGGTTTTCTGCAGTGAGGGTATGTGTTGGCTCCTTGTCGCTGTCTCTACGTACAGGCAATGCCAAAATATGTAATGGCTCGTTGCACCGTATTCACGTGCATTATGGACAGTGCATTAACCATATAGTTCTCCATTCCCTTCACATGTCCTGTGTCTCTGGCAAACTATAATATAAAGCCAGGGCGACATATTTAGCGTGGTAAGTATTTTTCCATAAGTGAATGGCTTGTGATCTGTGCAGATCTTGATTATTCTAGTCTCTACCATATGACGAATGTGTTTAACTGCTAAAGAGATTGCTAGCAACTCTGCCCTTCGCCGACGCTTCTTACAGCTCTGGAGTTGAGTCGGATGCCTCCTTTGACAACCGAAAGTTTCTTGGTTTCCCTCTTAATGCATCGCTCAGGGGCTGCATGTAGTGTGTGTAGTAAGGTATAAAGCGTCAACAGAGGTTGATCAACCCTAGAAAACTCCGGAGTTGTATGTGGAGTGTAAGTAGGAGATACTGCATGACATTATCCACGTCTTTGGGCATTGGTGAAATTCTGGTACCGTCAGTACATGCCACATGAATTCCATTGTCTCTACTCCAAAAACGAACTTACTCTGGTTGATTGTCATGCTGTTGTCTTCTAGTTTGTGCTGTGCAGCCATAATGTAATCTTCATGTGCATCTAGATGCGGGCTAGATATGAATAGGTTATCTACACATGCTTTGGTTAACGGCAATTCACAAAGCAAGTCATCCATAAATCTTTGGAATGTTTGTACAGAGTTCCGGAGACCAAATGGCATCCGCGCAAACCCATTTGATCCAAGTGGGGTGGCAATACCTATTTTAAGTACATATTCCTCAGTCGCCGGATTATTGTGGTACGCGCTAAGTCCATTTTAGTGAACGTTGTTCAATGGTTGTTCGTCGTCAAATTTCCATCAGCACTTCGCGGAACCTTTCGGTTGATGGTGCTACGACTAGATTCAATGAATGGTGCTCGTTTGCCTTGCTATTTGTATACCTGAAGGTGTCTTTCAATTTGAGTAATTTCTTCAGAATATCCACTACTAAGTCATGTTTTTCTAGTACGTCTACACCGAAGAGGCAGAAAGTGAAAATTTACGGAAGCTGTTGCTTAAGCTCGAGACTAAAGGTCCGCGCTTTCTGCCCGAAAGTCGAGATGCAGGTTGTTAGATGTCTGAAAGGTGACAGGGAATTTCGTCAACGCGGATATATATATTTATTCCTGTTTATGCAGGAACATCCCAATTGTACAGGCATGGATAAGTTATTATATAAATTACACATGTTTCGATGTATGTTGAATTTACAGTTTGTTTGTTCTTTCTGACATTAGAGTCAGTCGGAACAGTCTGCAAAATAGTCTGTCTGTGTAACACATAAAGAGATATAGAAATATTGTCTTCGCATTAACAAAAACCCAGACATCAGATGAATGTAATACAAATATCTGGGAAAAATAAAGCTTGAAGTCAATTCTCCTATATAACTTTGTTGTGAACAGCATCGTTGAGTTAAAGTTAATTGATGTATTATTTTGAGGTCAGTGATGTATTTATTCCATTTTTTCAGCAGTCTAATCGTAGTTTTATAATAGGAAAGAAATTTGATCGTGGATACGAAAACTGGATAAAGTCATGTTAGATTGTTTTACTGCATGGAATAGGGCCGAGGTCGATTCTAGAACTATCCATTGGCGCCATTTGTGTCAGCATGGCAGACTGTACGTTTAAGTTGAGTAATACGTTGAAAACTGTTTGAAAGCCATTTGCTTCTTTATTTCAGATCAAGAATACTCCTTGTACAGAATGTTGGCCAGCGTTTTCAAATGGTAGCACCGGATCGTTCATGGAATTTGAGTTTGAATTTACTGAAATGGTCATTTCAGTTTAAATGTTGGGTTGTTCGACCTCGACCAGGAGGTATATAGAAGTGCAGGCTCAGCAATAGAATCCCAGAAAGAGAAAGTATGTGAACATGGAAAGAACATTAATATTTTATGTATATATAAATGTTTATAAATGTGTAACGACAGAAGGCAAGAGTGAGGCAACAGATCATTTATCAAGGAAATCAACGCATATTTATACATTTTCATGTACATTACTATGGATATTTAAGCAAACAAACACAGTCTTCAGATTGGTTGTTTCTCACGTAAAGTTAATCTTTCATCTATTTGTGACTGTATCTTGAATGTCAAATCCTCCATATGTTAACTGCATCCGCCTACACAAAGTCTGCTGTGGTCGGTTTTGAATCAATCTTTGTTCACATTTTCTCACGACAAATCTTGGGAACGTAAATATTGACGTAAATTACTGTCTACCAATTTGGCTAGTAGACAGCTCTCTCTCTCTCGTCCCCCCGTCAAATAGCTTCGCGCGCAGGCGTCCCGACATTCTGGGTGATGCATCCTCTCGTTGATGATTGTTACAGACCGGCTTGTCCCAATGCACCCATCGTTGGATCTGACTGGCCTTAACTCGTTTTTGTTTGTGACCTCTTCTGATGGTATATACTTGACCCCGTCTTTTGTGACTGTGTATGGTCCTTCCCACTTTGGAAGGAGTTTGCGTGAATCTGGCCCGCATCCGACAGCATATCTTCTGTCTCTACACTTCACTTGGTCCCCG